ATGACCCAGTAAGTATGCTAGAGTCTGGCTAGCGAGTCTTTGGACGTCAAATAATTCAAATATTTCAAATGGCAACATGTTAAAACTGAAAAACTACAATAAAACAATTTTGATACTTACTATTTTTTTGTTTTCTGCTCTTTAGTTTGTGTTTACCTTGCCTACCGGTATGTATGTGTCGAAGTCAATATGTAAGATTCTGACGCTTACATAATGACCCGTTCGTATAAAGTCACCTGTTCATCAATGAGCCAGTGGTACACATTGAGTCTTGCCAATATTTCTGAAACGCGACCTTGCCTGATTGTGCAAAAACAGGTACAAACGTGTCTTTTCATCACCTCCCGCCACCCCAGTTTCCTGGAGAGTAGCACTTGAGATACACTTTTAATGCAACTTTATTGGGTTTTCCCCCAAAAAAGTGATACAAAAAAATTATGTTCAGAACTTTTTTAAATTTTTGTAGTAACATATAAGCATATTGTTAATATTTCGAGACACTAAGCTTATATTTCGCAGTCTAATTACGTTTATAATACTTTGGTTGGTAATATTTTTGTCCTGAAAATTTAATCATTTTGTCAAAATGACTGCCTTGTTCGACAATGAGCCAAATCTATGTGGTACACTATGAGCCTAATATTATTGTATGATAAAAAAAATATTGTCAAAAAATGGCAATATGATTATAAATTATTGTTAACAAAAGGCAGTTTATAAACTGAGATGCTAAGGTAAACAAAATAAAGCTTACGTTTTAATAATTTTTAACATATTAATTTGTTTCAGTTCAACAAAAAAAATATTATTAACAAAATGTTACCGTTTTAAATACTTGTATTCAAAATGCTTTCTATTTTATTCAATAATTTAACCCAAATTTTAAAAGTAAACCTTTTAGCTACTCTGATGCTAATGACTGACTCATTGAGAACCATACCTTGTACTCAATGAGCCAATTCCCATTTTTTCGAAAAACCATTTTCCTGAAAAATCTATCATAGTTATTCGAAAACTGTCTAAGGACAAATGATACCTTATAAAATTGCCTATCTAACAGCAAAATTTCCTAACTATAGGATGAAAAATAAAAAAGTTACGAGACTCTGAAAAAAAGGTGGCTCATTGATGAACAGGTCACCCTACAGACGAAAAGCAGTATACAAATTGTCGGCACGACATCCGGCAATATGACTTTGAAATGATCGTTGCTTAAACGTCAACGTGGTGATCATATTAGGGTGACCATGATTAAGAAAAAAAAACAACGATGTTTATTCATTTACATATTATTTACTTAAGTATCTTTTAGACTGTTTGATAGATATATTTACAATCATAGCTCGTTAAAGTGCTATGATTGTAAATATCTATGTAAGTTAAACCTTACTTTTTTACATCATGATTTAAGTTGTGTTGATGAGTGATCTGATATTTTTGCTAAATAAAAGTTCTTAAGGAAAACAGGGCTGTGTGAAAATAATGCATCACCATCATCATCATCATATCAGCCATAGGACTTATACTGCTGACCATAGGCCTCCCTAAATATTTCCACTTTGTCCGATTAGAAGCGGCCTGCATCCAGCATTTCCCCGCGGACTTGACCAGATCGTCTGCGCCTCCCGGTACGTGATCTCCACTCGAGAATTCCTCTGCTCCACCGATTATCAGTCCTTCGAGCAATGTGGCCCTGCTCTTTGCCGCTTCAGCTTATTAACTCGAATAATTAACCTGTCCTTAACCGTTGATTCAAATCTGATGATATGATTGGTTTAGTGACGACGCACTTCTTAGCCATTTTCATTTTTAATTCGCATAAAGGACAAAGCGACACAAACAAGTCCATCGCTTTTCTTATACTTAATCATAAATCGATCCTTCAATTGATACAATAGATACAAAAAAATCTTGTCCACCGTGCCCGCAACTTTCGTCAATTTCATTTAGTATATCGAAGTAGTCCTCCAAAGTGCGTACTGTCGGACTACAATAATTGTACTTTTTTGTAATTAAGTAATCCTGCACAGCAATGTTCATTACGACGTAGCGAGAGTACCAGTACCTACCTAATACTCGTCCCTAGTCCGCCGAATATCCGTGGCCATGGACGTCCTACCACTTTTTTTAACCTCGAAAAATTTCTGGTTCGTCCACGGGGTTCTAACCAATGCCTTACGAGTTCCATAATACTTTTTAAAAGTTCTGAACTAAATTTCTCCTTAATCTCTTATTGTCACTGGTAACATAGTAATTTTATTTACAAGATTTCCGTTTACACCTCCTGCACTGTTACTACTTTACTGTACGCCATATTTATTATTTTGCGATTACAGCGCCAACGTGGCGGAATTCAGTACTAGTTCGTACATATCGCCGGGCATTATGCCATACGGCAAAAGGTCGTTTTTTTGGCGGTACACATACTTACACATGTTACGTACACATTATTCATCAACCTAAACTTATAAAGCGTGCTGTGATTATACATATCTATCAAAATAGTTTAGATGTGATCGTCAAAGATACTCAAGTAAATAATACACAAACAAACTCATGGTCATCCTAACATAAGTACTTACTTACTCACCACGTGGACGTTTAAGTGACGTTTATTTCACCTTCATATTGCCGGATATCGTGCCGTCAATTTGTATACTGCTTTTCGTCTGTATACGGACGCGTGATTATGTAAACGCCAGAATCTTACATATTGACTTCGACATATCTACCGGGAGTAACAGAAAGGGTATAACAAGCCAAAAGGAGGTCAAGGTACTCATGAAACTGAACAACTTTCCCCATGGAACATGAGACGAAATATGAAAAAAAATTTGGACCTCTCAGAGTAAATCAATCAGCTGATCTGCGATTTTGTAATGGAGGTCCAAATATTTTTTTCATATATCGACCCATGTTTCATGGGGAAAGTTGTTCAGTTTCATGAGTACCTTGACCTCCTTTCGGCTTGTTATACCCTTTCTGTTACTCCCGGTAGATACATCATACATACATACCGGTAGGCAAGGTAAACACAAACTATAGAGCAGAAAACAAAAAAAATAGTAAGTATCAAAATTGTTTTATTGTAGTTTTTCAGTGTTGACATGTGAAAGATTTTCAAAATTGGCGCCATTTCCGTGTCCAAAGACTCGCTGGCCAGACTCTAATTTTCTAGTCAAAGTTCATCGTAATAAACTCGGCACTGGCGAAATCACAATAATCCGTGATAAACGCCATTAAAAACAAACTGAAACTAAGCAATACCAACTTGACACTGGCGAAATCATAATGCAAACGCCACAAAGCAAGAATTTCTCGCTGTATTTTATGATAAAGGATCCGTTACCTGTGCGTAGGTACTTATAGGTTTATTAATATCATCTCATCATATCGTATGGCGTTTCTCTGCGATGGATTCTGTATATTCATGTTTAGGTTTTTAGCCACTCTTCGGCCGCTGTTGTAAGACGGTGCAGCTCGGACACGCCGCCAGGTAGCGATGGAGAGGACAATAAGGGTTTATGATTCCATGGTTATCATCACTAAAACTATAAGACATTATAACGGGTTTTAACTCACGGTAGGGAGGGTCACTATCGGTGACCAAAGTGTTCCGAAAAAACGCAGTAGAATGAGGGTAGACAAATATGTTTGCCCTTAGCCGTCACCCGCAGCCGCTCCAGTTTACCCGTGATCATGGCGATTGCAACATCGCCGAAATATTGGGTGCTCGATATATCCCTACCGTGAGTTAAAACCCGTTATAATGTCTTATAATTTTAATTAGGGTTTAGTCAGTCAGACTCTACTAGGACTCTCCTCATTCGCAGGACGGTGACTCCGTAAGTCTAAAACCCCTTTTATAAGGTTTTTAATTAAGTACAAATATTTGAAGGACGTGACCTACTCACAAAACTGAACAACTTCTATTAGAAACATTTCTTCCAGCTAGAATCATTCATTCACCAGTCTACTATGCGGCAAAGTGGATTATAAAAAAGCAATATTTTGGAAATAAAACAACAAGTTTATGACTGAAATCTGTATATTACAGTTTACACAATTACAAAAATCTCTTGTCTAAAGTTGGCACGGATGTTAGGATCAAAAATATAATGAGCGATTATATGAAAATTAAAAAAAAACTGTGAAGAACAAGCAGTATTAGAAAAATTTTGCCTAGTTTTAGTGTGCGGGGTCTTATTTATGTGTTCCTAGGTTTGCTTGACAGCATTCGTTGTCCAGCAGTGGACAGATGTGGCTGTGGATTCTGTAGTCTTCTGTCTCCCCGCTTATGGTTACTGCTTGTTTATACTTATAAGAACTAAATACGATTGACGTTGCAGTAACAAAGTCTCTTACTACAACGTCAATCGCATTTAGCTCCTACATGTGTTTCCGGTGGCTATGTCCAGCAGAGGACTGTCGATGGTGGTGGTACGCGTTGGTCGTCGGTTGGGCCATCTACCCGCTAATAGGTACTGCTAGTGTGATATTAAAGCAATACCTATTGGCTGGTACGAAGATTCAGGGTCATCTGAAAGGAAACATTATTTGTGAAAATAAGGATTGAATGGGTACCTACCTTTTGAGACACTTCCTGTGTTAGGTAGGTATAGGTACGATTTCTAGAAAAAATTCTACAGCAGGCAGGATTTGAACCTGCGGCCCTCGGCATCTGTACTGCCGACGCCACTACCAACTGGGCTACCGCGGTTCTATCCTAGCCTGCGAATTAAGCAAGTATATCCCTTCCCGGGGACCTATAATTGCAGGTTCAAATCCTGCCTGCAGTGGAAAAATTTTGCAAGACTTCCAAAAAATGGAAAAAATAAATTAATAAAAATAATCAAAAAATAGCTTCTTCAATAGCATCATCATATAGTTTGAATTCCTACTGTAATTTGCACTAACCAGGTACCTACTAAAGGCGTAAATACTTATACTACCTAGTATGTCGCTTCAAGAGATTGGAAAATTGGCAAGGATCAACCGGTGCGTCGATACTTCAGTGGCAGAGCAGTGGGACGGTACCCCACCGACCCCGGCTTCGATTCCCGGTCGATGTTTGAAATGTTTTCAATTTGTTATTTCATTTATGAGAACAATATTTATTAACCGACTGCCTCAGAAGAAGGGTTGTGTTTGTCTAGAGCGTGTTTTTCACAAAATGATTGTGAGTGATCCGCCGGGAATCGAACCCGGAACCTTCTGCGGTCGCTCTACCACTGCGCTACATACATCGGAAGTCAGAAATAAGTTTTTTGAAAAACATTTTTAATTAATGAAGATCGTTACAATGCTTTTGAAAAATATGTTTGCTAAGGCAAGAAAAACATGTAACGTCCGTTTTTGCTTTATTTTACGCTGCGTAAGTTGCGTAACGCATAGGTTAGGATCATACGTCACGAAATACGGTTTATGTCAATAAACATGAAATAGCATTTCCCCAACGCATGCGATGACGCTGCGCAAAAATAACAGACCAAAAACGGACGTTACTTATTTTTACCCGACTGCTTCAGAAGGAGGGTTATGTTTTTCGAGAGTATGTATGTATGTATGTGGACAAGAAAATTCTTTTTCACGGGCTACAGCCCAAACGGATAGTTAGATTTTGACATATGAGGTGACGTTAGATTCGTCTCAGCTCAGCAGCGCAAGTGACACAGGCTACATAAAAAAATTATATATTCAAGATGGCGGATTTTTACAGCAAAATACTGCTTTAAAATTACCGCAGTCGGGTTTTTTGTTTTATAACACGTCATCTACTTGTTCTCGTCTAAAATTGGTACCTACCGGTTTACAACTTCAGTCCTGACACAACTGGAATATCTTTGGTCACACCTAAACAGAAAAAAAGAAAAAAGTTGAGAAAAACATGTAACAACATAGGCACGTACATACATATATCACACCTATATCCCTTGCGGGTTAGGCAGAGCGTAAACGGCTATAACATAGCCAGTTACACCAAGTCTGACAAAAGTTTGAGAGTGATTCAGAAGACTGTGTACTTCGAGCAACTCATCTTCCGTCCAAGACTGTGTATCACCATAGTGACCGGTTGTCAGCCTGTCGCCTAAAATTGTAATACTCATAAACCCTCAAATCCGTCTTCTTACGACACCGACGGGAATGATATGGGGTGATGCTATTCTAATCTGACACTACAAGACAAAGCAATACATTCTTACCACCAACCAAGCCACCAACTACAGGAACGTCTAATGGTGTCGCGAAAGCAGCGGCGATGATGGCAGCGAGAGCCTGTCAAAAAGATGACACCTGTCATTCTACAGCAAGAAACACACGAAGCGCCCGTTAGCGCTTGGTTAGCGCTATATAAGGTCCTATTAAATTCACTGCAAATATTTTTAGGGTATGTTCTTTTGTGAAACTGAATAACTTTTTTAGTTACATTTTCCGAAATATGAAAAAATATTTTAGACCTCCTATACAAAAATGTCCAAAATATGTGTCAGTTTAGGTCAATTTGTATGGCAGGTCCAAATTTTTTTTTTCATATTTCGGATAAATGTTACTAAGGAAAGTTGTTCAGTTTCACGTGTAGAACATACCCTGAAAATATTTGCAGTGAATTTAATAGGACCTTATAGAGTTCGGTAGTAAAAAAAACTAGTTTTCTATTGTATTTGTATTCATTTCGACACTATAACTTTTGAGTGATGATTTATACAAAAAGCATACATACATCCACCAAAACTTTAGTATAAATTGATATGTAAAATGGTGCCAAGTTCATTAGACAATTGCGATTTTCTCGATTAGATCTTATAACATTCTATTAGTAGAAAAGCAAACTAATTAGAACTTAAAATTAAAGGCATCCCAGAGTCTGCCTAAAACTCTTGGCTTTTGTAAACCATTTATACATACATACATACCTACCTACACAATCATCATCATCATATCTATTACGCACTGCTGAGTATAGGCCTCTTTTTTTTCTCGCCATCTGTCCTGTGCCTTCTGCATATTTACGTCATACACTTATCATGCCTGTATCCCTTGCGGGGTAGGCAGAACAATACGTCTATAAAAATCTGGTCTCTTTAGTGACAGATTGTCAGCCCGTTGTGGAATACACATGAAGCTAATCATTTTAATTTTACCAATTACGATATGATTACCTAAATACATTATTGCATTGGGTTTATCCTTTAATAATAATATGTGTAAATTTAATATTTATAAATATTTTCATTAAAGTGACTCTTACCAAGATGACAGCGGAGAATTTCATTTTGAGTTTGGGTTGTTGGGTCTTCAGATCAAGAGATACTGGTGATATTACCTAGATTTTGGCTCCTTTATATACCATAGGTATCTACATCACCTGAACTAACATTGATGCAATTTATTACTATTGTTACAGAAGAGCTGAAATATATCCGTTTTGAGTATTTATTCAATTTATTATAACAGTTTTCCTTATCTAAGTATAATCTGTCAAAAAGCAAGATGGTTCCGTGCTTAGGATGGACACGTTAAGCCGTCGGTCCCGGTTGCTGTCTATGATGGCGGTCATTACACAACCATGTCACAGGTCTACTACCTGCAGTAGGCGGTTGAAAAACTCTGACACCAGGGTACATCGGGTTGTTGAACGCCTCGGTGTCCCAAACGAAGAAAGACAGAGAATTTGTCGGATAAGTGCTATTTGGACACGCCCACCGAGGGCTCAGTAACATTTTATAATTTAAATTCCGTAACTAAGCTCGCTCTAATGATTTTGAGTTCAAGTCAATGATTTGACTAAGTTTTATAATTATATTTATTTACTTAGGACAGCCGATTGTAGGTACAAAACAATCTTCACAGTTTTTTAGGGTTTCGTAGTCTACTAGAAACCCTTATAGTTTCGTCATGTCTGTCTGTCTGTCTGTCTGTCTGTATGCCGCGCCCTCATATCTTCGTCAGTTTTAGAGCTATCGACATGAAATGATCCCGGACCTAAAGTATGGAAAAAGTGGTTTCAGTTAAATCGGATGAAATTTTGGTATGTTATAGGTTTTGATCATCTGAACTAAAGATTATATGGGACCAAACTCCTAGGTTTAATGGTTTTCGAAATAATCGCGATATTTCGTTTTAATCATTATGTACGCGGTTGCACCACTCCACGACGCGCGGAGTGTTGGCAAGGTGGGGCATGGTAGGGCAAGGTGGGACAGGGTGAGGCATGGTTGAGAAAGGTGGGGCAGGATGGGTCAACGTGTGACAGGATAGGACAAGGTGCCGCGTTGTTGATCTTGCCTTACCTTGACCCACCTTGCCCCAACTTGCCCCACCTTGTCCCACCCTGCCCCATTTTTTTCCACCTTGCCCCACCCTGTACTATCATGCCAAACTCGCAAGTATAATGGTTTTCGAAATAATTACGTTTAATTATTTCATTAGGGCAGGACAGACCGCCAGAGTATGCTGTATAGCTAGTGCACGTAATCACGCACGTGATCACGTTCGTGCACCCCTGTCAGGCCGGGCTACGGATATCAGCTGCGTACGCAACGCAAAGGGCCTGTTGCGTAGTGTTGCAAAAAGTAAAAAGATCAGTTCTTCATTTGGGCGTATTGTGACTAATTCGCAAACTGTCCAGTGTGTCAGATAAACTAATTCGCAGCAAAAAGTGGTTGCCCAAGTTGCAAGTAATAGGTGTGGTAAGGTGGAGTAGAGTGAGGTAAGGTGGGCCATGGTGCGCCAAGGTTTGACAGGATGGGGCAAGGTGGGACAAGGCGGGGCCGGATGGAGTACGGAGGGACAATGGCGGGGCTAGGTGGGACAAGGTGGGGCATGGTGGGGCAAGGTGGGAAGGGTGAGGCAAGGCGGGACAAGGTAGTGCAAGGTGGGGCATAGTGGGGCAAGGTGGGGCATGGTGAGGCAAGGTGGGTCAGGGTGAGGCAAGATCAACAACGCGGCACCTTGCCCCACCATCTCCTACATTGACCCATCCTGCCCCACATTGTCCCACTATGCCCCATCTTATCCAACGTTGCCCCACCCTGTCCCAACTTCTGTCTGACCTTACCCCACCCTGTCTGACCTTGCTCCACCCTGTTCCACAATGCCCCACCCTGTCACAGTCAAGATTATTCGCACTTTAGCAATATCGCACCAGTGTTCGTCGGGCTAGAGAACATTTGCACTAGCGTGCGTAGAGCAAGAGTACTTTCGCACTTCAATCCGTCGGGCTAAAGTACTGTCGCACATCAGTGCGTCGGTCTAGAGTACCGTCGCACTTCGTATAACACTCCGCGCGGGGTGGAGTGGTGCAACCGCGTAAGTAATGATTAAAACGATATAACGCTTTTATTTCGAAAACCATTAAACCTAGGAGTTTGGTCCCATATAATCTTTTGTTCAGATGATCGAAACCTATAACATACCAAAATTTCATCCGATTTAACTGAAACCACTTTTTCCATACTTTAGGTCCGGGATCATTTGGTGAGAAGATAGATCGTGTTGACCCAAATATAGAAATGTGAAGAAAAAAATATATTAAATGTTTTTTGGACCACCTCCCATACAAGTAAGTGAAAGGGGGCAAAAAATTTTTTTTTCTTCTGTAATATTGAGTAGGGTATCGTTGAATAGGTCTTTTAAAACTAAGGTGAAGTTTGTTTGAAACAAAGTCACTAAAATGTTTCTGTCACGAGATATTTGCTTTTAAAAAGGGCGTTTTTGACCCATAATTTGTTCCAGCTGTAACTTCTAAAGTATTAACGCTAAAAATTTGAAATAAATATGGAATATAGCTTACAACCTGAAGTTACAAAGAAAACTATAACGGATATTGTACCCTCAAAGGTTTCGGAAAAAATTGAGTTTTTCTATTTGCGGTTGGTCATCATACTGCTGCTAACAAACCAGCAACAAAATTAAGTTTGTAATGCTGAAAAACCTGATATTTAAACGTTGACTACGAAACCCTATTTGTGGGCGTGTCTGACACGGTCTTGGCCGTTTTTTTTTATGAATTCCGATATCTTATTGAATTTACTGCAATATGACGGACAGACGCTTAACAAAGTAGGGGTAT